GGGCGGGTTGCCGGATTGGCTGGGTGGGTTTTTTTTTTGGTTTTATTTTGTTTTTTTTTTTTAATTTTTTAACCAATAAATTTGCGACACATGTCACTTTAACAAAAAAAAACAAAATTAACCCATTCAACCGGTAACCGGTTTTTGGGATTGAAGAAAGATAGGCCGCCTTAAAGTTGAGATTATTGAGGAATAATTCAAAGTTGAGATTAATGAAACTAAATTGGTAAAAGTTGGGATTAAAAAACGGTATTAATCCTAAATTATTTTGGATTTTTTTTGTTTTTTATTCTACATTTTAATATTTGTATGTATTTATATATAAATGTGAATTAGTAAAGCATGATTTATTTCTAACTAAGATGGTAATACATGTAGTTTTCATTCAATGAGGTTTTGTTGAATGATGACATGACGTGATATTGGTGTAAGCAGGGGTACACATGGTTGTTGAATGATGATGTGGTATGATATTGGTGTAAGAAGGGGTATACGTGGCACTAGAAAGTTTTAGAAATGTCTTTTTATTATATAGTACAAATACGGGTGTCTAATCGATGCTTGATTTGGCATTAGGTCAAATTCAATCCTACATCAAAAATTCCATTAGTTAAATAGTGAGGATTAATCCCCTTACATAGAATATTATTTTTCATATAACCCAATAAATATACTCCCTCCGTGTTTTAATAAGTGTTACACTTTGACCGCCACATAGTTTTAGGCAATTTAATTGACTTAAATAAAATAAGAGGTAAATGGGGTAGTTGGAGTATTATAAAATTGTAAAAGAAATATAGTGGGTTAATAGCTTATTGAAAAGTAATGAATGTGAGAGGAAAGAAATAATAAAAAAAGTAATAGTGGGTTTGGGTGGGGATCATGGGAGGAGAGAGATATTATATTTAAATGTAGTTTTTTACTAAAAAAGGAAGTGTAACACTTATTAAAACACGGAGGGAGTACTCATCGTTGGTGGCTTGATGTTGCAAACTCTAAACCCTTTCAGCAAATCTTCCAAGTTTCATTGATTAAGCTTGAAACCTTAAATTAGAAAGAGACAAAAAGAGGTGTCTTATTTCAATTTTGTGGTGTGAATTTCAGGGGAAAAAATACTCCTTCTGTTGAATAGGAAATAACCGTAAAATAAAAAAGGAAAGTAGGAGAAAAAAAGAGGTATAGATAAAGTAAATACTCCCTCTATTTCATAATATTAGTCTCATTTAGAATTTTTTTATGTAAATTAAGAAAAGGGAGATTCTTGGAATAAAGTACATTGATACCATTAAAATACATTAAGACCATCCTTTTTTGGAATAAAATACACTGATGCCATTAAAGTACATTAAGACCATTTTTGGGAGGATTAAAATTGAGGATAATATGTGAAAATAAAGAATATATGTGAGGGATGAAAATTAAAATAAAGTAGGATTATCTTTTTAAAAAGTCCAATATAAAAAGTGGGACTAACATCGTGAAGAAGAGAGGGGATTATAGAAGAGAATGGGGTTATAACTTATTGGAATGAGAGAGTGTGAAAGCCTGAAAGGCATGGGAGGCTACTTGATGCCAATGTTTTGAAAGGGGAAAATAAAAACTTACCCGCATTATCTTAGCAAAATATTAAAAAATAATAAATAAATTAAAAAAAAAAAAAAAAAACTAAGGTTAAGCTAGGGGTACTCATCTAACACAAGGGCAGCCCATGACCCGGCCCAACACCCTTCTTTTTTTTACCAGGTTGGGTATGACCCATTAATTTTGAAAAAATGGAAAAAAATAACATCCTTAAATTTAGCGGGTTAGCAAGTCAAAAAAACCGATTGCGGTACTTTGAAACACCCTCACTTACACCCAGACAAACCTTTAAGGCGCAATGCAAGAGTTACCGATTTGCATAGAATAGTGGACATCGAAAAGTGAAACTAATTGTAGATTGTGAAATAGTTGTTCGTTTGTTTGTGGAATTTACTCCTCCCAACTCTCCTTATATTCACATCATCCGAAAGTATAAATCCATGATATGATTGCTCATAAGAATGGGAATTCATAATCGAACATAAAGAGAAGTTAACTGTGCTGGTGTCTCTTTTAATCAGAAGTTATCATATTTGAAGTAGTCCCTAGATATTTTCATGTCATTTTATTGGAGGACTTTGGTGGAGTGGCTTGTCTTAAAATGGTCCCGAAAATTATCTTAGTTTAATTTTTTTATTTGCTTTCTTTGTTGTTTTTCCTTTGTTGTTTTTGTTTTGTTCGTTTCTTTAAGTCTAGCTTTCCTTTGTTTTGTGGCTTGCCCCTCAGCTTCACCAAAAATAAAACCTACTACTTTGCTTTGCTACAAAAAGGTTCGGGATTCCGATTAATAAAACAAATCTTATAGATAAAGTATGAGGAAGCCCAGGTTTATCATTTAGATAAACCTCAGCCGTTTATCAAATGGTATAGTAGTAATTAAGTCGCCTTGGTTTTCGCGCAATGGGTTTTTATATTTTTTCTTTTGTCATTGAATAGCTGGCACAAACGGTGCCTTGTTAACACTTGCGTTAACTTTTACCCAGCTTCTCCCTTCTACAACAATGGAGGAAGGTCGTTGCCCACAAAAATCAGTAAGAAACGAAGCCAATTGCTCGCAAAATCAATAAGAAACGAAATCAGTTGCCCACAAAAATCAGTAAGCCATTTTCATCACCATGTTTTCCTTCATATATCTATTTCCTCCATTACAATTACTTGACAGCCACCATTTCTACAACCACATTTCTGGCGGCTTCGGCGCGAATTAAAAGAAAACCCTAAGATAAAAGGGAGAAATAAAGGATAAGATTTTTCTCCCTCTTTCATCTTCCATTGAAGCTGCTCATGAGGGGTTTGAAGTTTTTATTTTTGGGGAAAGAGATGAAGAGGGAAGAAGATAAAGTATTGCTAACTTTGACTAACGGCAAGGCTAATAACTTTCCTTGACAAAAATATAAATTGACAAAATTGTCCCTACTATTCATGTTTAAATAGTCCGATATACCCTTTGATAAACAAATCAAGTTTATCATAATGATAAACTTGAATTTGCTCATAAAGTATTATGTTATGTTAGGCCCTCTTATATATTCTCCATTTTTTTTTCTAAATAAACTGAAATTATATTTACTAAACTAAAATTGTTTTTACTGAATTTAAATTATTTTTACTAAATTAAAATATATTTCAGCGCGTTTTATGTGGCTGGCCACACCGATTAAGTGACCCTTGATCGATTGAGTAAGCCCTAAATAAGTACCTCTGACCACACGTGTGGCCAGCCACATATGAAACTTTGAATTATTCTAAACTTAATACGAATTACTCCCTCCGTCCCATAATGTCGTGCTTATTTCTCAAATAACATTGTAATTAAGGAGAATGGTGGAAGTAGGGGAATATTCTAATGAAAAGATAAAAAGTAGAGAATATTATATAGGAATAAAAAGTAGAGAATATTGTATGAAAAGAGAAAAAGTAAGTAATGACTTTTTGGGTATATGTGTATTTTGTATGGAAAAGATAAAAAGTAAGTAATGATTATGTGCTATATTTAGAAATAGGCACAATATTTTGGGACATCCAAAAAGGAATACAGACACGAAATTATGAGACGGGTGTAATAATATTTAGTCTATTTTAAGTTATTTTTATAAGTTACTATATATCTATAAATATTACGAAAATAATAACCGCTAATGTCATCACCGTCTATGTATCACTCTCATATTAAATTTTTTCTCGCCTAAATGTAAGGATGATTTAAATTTGTTTTCTTCTTTTTTTTTAGTTACCCTATTTAACATTGCATTAAAAAAAATTATACAGCTTCTACCATACAAATACCACTTTATCATCTTATCTTAGGAAAGTGAAACAATTTTTAGTGTCACAATAATAAATGACCTCTTACGGTCCGACTACTGTCTTTCCCACTATCGTTTCATCATCCCTTGGGTAGCAAAGCTTTCCACTCTCTCATTTCCTTAAATTTTACTCAGTATTTCAATCTGCTCCATTTACTCAATTCTTAGCCTTTTTTATTTATTTATTTATTATTATTTACTTGTATTTTTTAGGAAATTTTGTCAAAAAAAAAAACCACTTATAACAACTTTTTTGTTAGAAAAAACCTTAAAAAAGTTTTTTGACAACTAGAAACCAGATTGTAAAATTTTTTTGGCAACTAATTTCCCATTAATTCTTCTAATTACTCATAATTATCACTTAACTATTTGATAATTAAGTTGATTTATAAATTAAAAAAAAAAAAAACAAAACAAAAGCCACCCTCACCACCACCACCCAGCCACCCTCTCCTTCTCCCTCTCCCGTGGCAGCAGCCCCCTCCCCCATCCCCAGCCGCCACCTAGAACCCCCCACCCCTGTCGACTAACCTCCACCGCCGAACCAACCCCCTCCCTTTCCCCTTTACCCTCGCGCGACCACCCTCCTAAACCCTAACCCAAAAATTCCACCCAATAGAGTGGCTGTGAGGCTGCGGCTGCGACCAAAGTTGGTGCGGTGAGACTTGGGCGGTGCCAGCGCTGATTGGTGAGCCGAATTGTTGACGGTTTGAAGAGGTTTTGTGATTTAATTGTGATTGCTGATATTTGGTGAAGGAAGTAGGTTGTGATGATGTGTAATGTGTTGTTGCGGAGGGCTGGTCGAAGCAGGGGAGCTCGTCAGGCAGCAGCCAAAGTCGCAAACGCGACGGTGGATTGGAGGTTGGTCGCCGAGAGTGGGGGTTATAGGCGGCGACTCAGATAGGGAGGGGGAAGGGGAAGGGGTGGCTAGCTGGTGGTGGGAGGTGGTGGTTTTTGTTTGCTTTTTTTTATTTTTAATTTTTTTTATTACATTTATATAATAATTTAATTATTAAATAGTTAAATGAGAGTTGAAAGTGTAATTAGAAGAAATAAGAGAAATTAGAGGTTAATTTTTTTTTTTTTTTTGAAAGGAAACGACACCACCATATATTAATTAGAAGAAAGGTCCAACATAGACAAGCTTACAATGCTCTCAGGAAAAGAGTCAGTACGGATGAGTTCCTGACACTCTCCTATGTCACCCCTAGCAACGAGGTGAGCGACGGTATTACTATTGCGTTTTACATGGGAAAAAATACAAACATTGAAAGCATTATAGAGAGCTCGGATCTCTTCCAGAATATGGAATATAGGTGCTGCTCCGTAATGTCTTTTGGTGATAGCTGAAACTATGTTGAGGGCATCTGACTCAATCCACGCACTGTTGTAGCCAAATCTCAGCAGGGTTGACATTGCATAGCTGATTGCCATGGCCTCGGCGATGTCAGGCCTTAGTTGAGTGATTTTCTTCGTTGCGGTCAACAGCATCGAGCCATTATTATCTCTAACAACTACTCCTAAGCCAGCTCTGCCTTCTTGGCCAATGTGTGCATCTACATTCACATTGATAATGCCATGAGGGGGGGGGGGGTGTTCCATCTCGTTGCAGACGTTCTATTTGCAGCCCTATTACAATGATACACCCTTTCAGCATAGTATTGGTAATCTTCCACCATTTTACAATAATTTGCAGCCATCATTACCGGGTTTGGAGTGCTATTCCCATATATACGCATGTTATGGCATCGCCATGCAGCCCATAGCATACCAGCCACTCGTAGCACATCATACTCCTTCAGTTTAGAGCTTAGCCAGTTCCATCTTTCACCAAATGAGCCTGTAGGGGCTTCTGACAGCAGGTATCTAAACTCACAATGGTTCCATATTGTCTTCGCAGCCTCACACTCAAAAAGAGCATGGTTTATTGTTTCTTCACTGTTACCACAGATGGAACATATATCATCTTGTAATATGTGACGTTGCATGAGTCTTGATTTCACTGCCATATTGCCAACGTGTTTCTAATCATTTCCACATTCCAAGCACTGCATCCCTCCATGAGAAGCTCTTTTACTCGCATGTCTTCATTTGCGTCACAGGGTATTTGCAAAGTGTTAGGACGACCTTCATACATTAGCCAAGGGTCCTTCCACAGTCTGATATTTTCCCCATTCCCCACCCTCCAAGCAATGCCGTCACGTAAAACACCCTTGCCCCCCCCATAGACTTCGCCATAGGTAGCTAGGGTCATATCCCCTATTCGCCTCAATGACTGATGACCTCTTGAAGTACCTGGCTTTTAATATTCTATGTGATAGTGAGTTTGGTGATTTTTGTAATCTCCAAACTTGCTTGGCTAGCAAAGCTTGGTTAAAAGCACCCAAATCCCGAAACCCCATACCACCCATATTTTTTGGCTTACATAAAGCCTTCCAATTTTGCCAATGAAGTTTCCTGCTTTCCTCGGTCGATCCCCACCAAAACCGGCATAACAAGTTGTGGATTTCATCAATGATTCCTTCCGGGATTTTGAAAATGCTCATCATATAGGTTGGGATCGCCTGGACCACTGCTTTAATCATGACTTAGGGGTTAATTAAGTGAATTAGGGGTTCTTGGTTGTCCTCAACAAAAAAAAATTTACAATCTGGTTTCTATTTGCCAAAAAAATTTTATAAGGTTTTTTTCAACAAAAAAACTGTTATAAATGGTTTTTCCTGACAAAATTTCCTATTTTTTATTATCATTTTTCCTTTAATGGATAATTCATTTTTAAGTTCAAACCGTATATCGTAGGCAACTAGCACACTCGTTAATTAGATCCTTTTAACTTAAAAAAAAAAAAAAAAATATCACAATCCTCCCTCAAATTCTATAATAGACATCAACCACCTGCGTGTTGGTTGGCAAACTAACTTTTAACAGCACAAGAGAAAAGTAGGCGATGCAATCGAAGTACACTAACAACAAAACCCAAAATCTTGTGGTCACAAAATAAATCCAAATAGCTTAACAAAAAAAAAAAAAAAAACATAAAAGAAGAATGTTATTTGTTGTTGCTGCTTCTAACTTTCTTAGAGTTCTAACCTGTAAACACTCCTACATTGCTTTCTTCCCTCAATTTCTCCGCCCAAATTTCTTCTTCCTATAAAAATTCATCAAACACCCAAATTTTCTCTCTCCTCCATCTTTCTACCAGTACCAATTTTCAATGGCTGCTAGCATTCAGTCTTTAGGTGCTCCATCGTCTTTCTCTGCTGTCAATTCAATCGATTCCAAAAAATTGAATGGTAAAATTTTAATTTCTGTGTTTCTGTTGCGTTTTAGTAATTTAGATTTGAATTGGGTTTTCTGGGATTCATTCAATATTGTTTGTGTTAGGATTTACATTGGTTTGATTCGTCTGATGCTAATAGATTCTAAGTTTGCAATAATACAACAGTCGAAATAATATATTATGTAATTTCTATGGGTTTTATCTTGAAGTTTAGTGGAATTTTGATTGATTTGTTGATCAGTTTTAAAAAACTTGTTATTGATTAATTTTATGTTTTTAATTTAGGAAGGAAAGTTGGGTTTGTGGTGGTAAGATCTGACCTCAATGCTAAACGTGGTTCGATGCCGGGCCGTTGCCGGACTGCGAAATTGGTTTCTCAGGCTGTTTCTGTGAGTAATTTCTATCCAATTATCTAATCATGTATTCTAAATCATTAGGAATTTTGCTTATATTATACTCGTATTAAGCTACTTTTATTTTAGGAAAAAAAAAAAAAAATCTAATCATGCATTGTGCATTTCTGAAATTAGGAACTTAAACTTGATTTTAATGTTGTTATATTTTTGCAGACACCAGCAGCTCCTACCGCGCCTTCAAAAACCGGGTATGCACTATGCTATATTGCCTATATGAAGGCCTTTTATGCCATTTTCCCATGTGACTATTTTGGACCTTGGATATTTTGGCTTGTTGCCTTGTTCTTTATACATCAAAAAATAGTACATAGATTTCTCTAATATGTTGGTATTATTGGTTGTTAGAGTTTTTGCATAATTTACAGTTTTTTTTTTTTTTTTTTTTTTTTTTAAAGATAATTTATAGGTGATTAGTGCATTTCATATCCAAACAAAGTACATATATTTCTCTGTCTCTGCTGTGGATGTGCTAGTAGCATATGAGCTTCGGTTACATTAGAATTCACTCAAGAATAGAAATCACTCTTAACTATGTAAGACAACTAACATAATGACTCGTTTGCATCCATTGGCAATTCTTTGAACCTCTCTGCCATAGTCACAATACTCACAAACCTATGATCTGGAATGATACTCTTCAAACTATGCTTTTGGTTGGAAAACTTACTTTAAGTAAATATTCTTTTTCAAAGTTCATGTGGTAAGGATATATTCTCAACCTGTTCATTGGTTTTAGTCTATGATAGAAGCCAACATTATTTAGATAGCATATAAGTGGTATAACCACTATTTTGGGTACTTAAGGGATTTCTATGTGTTAGTGTGTAACCCGTTCTTTCTTCTAGTTCATTTTCCTTGGCTAATTCTGAGTTCAAACATTTTGGATTACTAAATAATAAATGATGAGAGTTCTAGCTCTTTTTTCATTACATGATGGAGTCTTGGCAAACTATAATTTTTGGGATATTCTCATTAGTAGCCCTGCAATTTTGACTTTTTCCATTGGTAGCCACCTTTTTTTTTTTTTTAAAAAAAAAGTCAATGTTAAACCTAAACCTATAAAATTTCTCAAACGTGATCTTAATTATGATTTTCCGTTAACATTCTGTTAAAAATCTAACTATAGCTAACTATAGTTAACCTTTTGCTCACTCTTACCTTCTTCTTTGTTCACAAGGCTCAACTTTTCTATCATGAACATTCACTTTCTTTCTCCTCCATTGAAACACCTTATTCCTCCACCTTCCATCCATCTTTCCTGGCCACCACTGTCACCTCTCTTCTTCCCCCAACCCCTCCCCCACCACTCGTTTCCGGCCCCGCCATCGACTACCATTACTGCCGTCGATGACCGGATTGTGTTCTATGAAGTTTGAGTTGATTGACTTGATTTTATGCTTAGATATGCTTGGTCAAGAAGGGTGTTAGTTTTGTGGAAGGTCATTGTTGTATTACAAGTAATCTACAAACCAAGTGGAGCCTTTTTGATGTGATATGTGTTTTAGATTACTTAAAGGACTCAATTTCCTCTCTAACTTGTCATTCTTCACTGTATTACACCGTACTGTATTCTTCTTCTCGAACTTCGAGGCTTTTTTCCTTCAAATTCTCACATTACAACCTATAATCAACCAATTCTTGTTTAACTCTTGTCTTATACTCCCTTAAATCCCTAATTATATCATTCAAATCTTTCGTATTTACTACAAATAGTCTCTTATTCTCGCATTCGATATTTGACTCTGGGAGAAGGAGCTGAATATTGTTGGCGTAAGCGGAGCAGCCACTGGAACATCCACCATAGCAGTCAATTTCTACACCACTCTAAACAAAATCTACTATCTCATGAAGTACTTGAACTCTGTTTCTCATTGTAGTGCTGGAGGTGGTGTTGTGGTGGTGGCGGTTGAAATTTATAATATAAAGAGACGAGAAAGGAAACTTATATTCAACTAGATTAGTGCCCGTGCGATTCACGGTAGTAATAATTTTTTTTCCCATAATTAATTTGTGATATAATATAAAAATGAGACAACTCATCTGGAATAAATATATGCAATGTATATAAGAAAAATGAAATAGTAAGGCAAAAATTGTTTTTGATCAGTTGTGTTGTACATTATATTATATTAATGATGCATGTTATTCCCAATAAAACTATACAATGTAGATGTCGTATGTCTTTTTATAAATGAATTAATTTAGTAAAAAAAAAAAAATATTATACAATTAACTTCAAAAAATAAGCTAAGTAGAATAATTTTTTTTTTTTAAAAAAAAAAACTTAAAGCTGGCATCATATATTTTATTGGCGGGAATTTTTTTAATGATAGCTTAGATTGACATATGTCCAAAATGATTAATGTAAGCATGACCTGTTTTAGTAATAGTTAATAAATTTTTTGAAGGGGAAAAATGTTATAAGTTGGTAAAATTATTATATAAGTTGGTAAAATTATTATAGAAATATTTAACAAAAAACTCACTCAATTATTATTATTTCATAAGATTTTCAAATCATTGCCATGAAAAGAAATGTGTGTTTTTTTTTTTTTTTTTTTTTTTCATTGAACCCCACTATTGTACAACTATATAATGGTAATTTAAATGTTAATATTGTATTTTTAGCCCCGTTATATTATACTCTCCATCATATTTCAACCTTCCAAATTATAGCTTATTCTCTCTTAATTAAAAGGTCACAAAATCTTGTGTAACTATTTTAAGTAAATAGAATACGAAATAAAAAGGAATACGATTATTATAGGAATAATATATTATTATAGTTTTATTATCCAAATATTCCAAAAATAAAAGTTTTTTGGTAAAAAGGGAGAGGAGAGTTTTGGATGGAAAAAACAGCACCAGAAAGTGACACGTGTCATTCATGGTGTCTGTTTTAGTATTATGTTATTGATTTATTCCAAGAACAATTTACAAGGCTTTAAATAGGAAAGTGCTACTAATAAACTACATTATTTAATTAAAAATCCTAGGCTACCAACATTCCATTCTAACAATTTCGGATAAATTATTTAATTAAGAACAATTTACAAGTTACAAGTTGTGATCCAATGTATATGTTGATAAGTCCTTAGACTTTTAAATTACGGTAACAACATGTTTATAATCTTTCATTTTGTGAAGGCTTCTCAATACTTTACTAACAATAGTCTCATTAGTAATGGTGTCACCATAAATTCTCATTTTACTTGCAATTTCGGATACTCTAGACAAGAAACTTTGGATAGTTTCTCTATCTTGCATTGTCATGCTCTCAAAACTACTATGTAGAGTTTGCAATTTAACGGTAATCACCTTCTTATCACCGAAATATTCTTGCTTCAAAATTTACATAGCAAGAATATTTCAGTGATAAGAAGGTGATTACCGTTAAATTGCATACTCTACATAGTAGTTTTGAGAGCATGACAATGCAAGATACTATCCAAAGTTTTGTCTAGAGTATCCAGAATTGTAAGTCAAATGAGAATTTATGGTGATACTAATGAGATTAATGTTAGTAAGGTATCGAGAAGCCTTCATAAATGAAAGATTATAAACATGTTGTTACTGAAATTTTGGAGTCTAAAGACTTATCAACATATACATTTGATGAGGTCCTTGATGGCTCATGAAGAAAGGATGGATAAGTCTGCAGATGTAATTGTCGAGGTAAAAGACTTTCAAGTTAAAGTCGTGAGTTCATTATCGTGTTCGAGTTGTGATTGCGTGTTTGCGGTCGTGGTTGCTTGCATCTCCGCAATCCGTATCAAAGAGAATTATTAGAGTAGTTTTCGTTGTAGTGATGCATGCTATGCTCTTTGAAGCAAGGGTGTGTGTTTGTTGCAGTGCTTCAAAGTTGTGGGATGTGCATGAGCAATTAGCTATTATTTCTTGGTTCAATAGTTAACTATTCACGCACATCCCGCTACTTTGAAGCACTACAACCAGCACACCCCCTTGCTTCAAAGAGCATGCATCACTACAACGTAAACTACTTCAATAATTCTATGACAAACACTAATGAAACAAGACGATGTTCCTTGTTTCACTCACGACTTTTTTTTTTTTTAATAATGTGTTTTGGCTTAGGATCAAACCTAGATTTGCTCGGATACCATGTTGAAATTATAGTATAAAGAGATGAGAAAGGGGAAAGAACATTAAAACTTGTGTTCAATCCATTCCAAGAATAATTTACAAGGTTTTAAATAGGAAAGTGCTACTAATAAACTACATTATTTAAATAAGAATCCTAGGCTACCAACATTCCTAAATAATAGAAACTGATTTTGATCACGTTACTCAACATTTGCCTGGTGGGAGTAAGGTGTGGATTTTGTTGGCTATTGTTGCAAAGTGCTGGGGGTGGCAGCAGTGGTGGTAGTAAGGTGGTTTGAATTTAGTTATAGTGAAGTTTGGGGACTGAATCTTTTATATAATGTAAGAGTTTTTTCTAACTTCTCACCAAATTCCTCCAAAACTCCAATCCTGCAATTTTGTGCACTCCCTTTTTTTTTCACTCTAGTTTAGGAGAAAAAGAGAGGAGAGAGGAGAAAAGCTTTATAACTTAACCATGGTTAAATAAAATAAGAATTAATATAATTTTAACTGAAAATCATCATTAAGGTCACATTTTAGAAATTTTATAAGTTCAAGGCTACCATTGATAGTTGAAAAAATTAATTGGCTACTAATGAAAAAATTCAAAACCACATTGCTACAATCGAGAATTTCCCTAATTTTTTCTTCATGTGGAGTGAGGGTTGGTGCCTTTAGGAAGAACTTTATCACCAACTTTTCAATATAGAAGCCTTGTAGCTATATTGCTATAAGCATGAAGGATTACACCTCCTATTCTAGTACTATGAACTGAGAAGTGATTATCACAAACCCAGAGCTATGGCATTTTTACCTACGTATCTATTAAGGGGAAGGAGTGGAGTTTTTTAATATAATATATCGTATTATAATGAGGAATGAAAGATAAAACAAGTATATCGTATTATTACTATTATATACTGCGTTTAGCTGTTTATATACTAGAATTAGTGGGTAGAAATTTGTGCATATGCTTTCATGTTAATTTTTTGCAAATATATTTCGCTGTTTTTGAAGTTGACTTGTTTGGTAATTCTTTTTGCTAAATGTGAACCATTTTGCAACATGTACCTTTCATTCATGACCGTTCATATTATGTATGTTATGGTTCAGCTGATTTCACATTGACAAATATTTTGCAACTGGTTTTTGCTATTTCAATTGTCTAAATTTTCTTGGATTGTCAGGCACGAGGTCTTGCTCTTTGAAGCACTTCGTGAAGGTCTTGATGAGGAAATGGAAAGGGATGCTCGCGTATGTGTCATGGGTGAAGATGTGGGTCACTATGGTGGATCTTACAAGGTTACTAAAGGACTGGCCCCAAAATATGGAGATCTTAGAGTTCTTGACACCCCAATCGCTGAAAATTCCTTCACGGGAATGGGCATTGGAGCTGCTATGACTGGCTTAAGGCCTGTTATTGAGGGAATGAATATGGGATTCCTTTTATTGGCATTCAACCAAATCTCGAACAACTGTGGCATGCTGCATTACACTTCTGGCGGCCAATTTACCATTCCTGTGGTCATTCGTGGCCCTGGTGGTGTTGGACGGCAGCTTGGGGCTGAGCATTCACAACGTCTTGAGTCTTACTTCCAGTCAATTCCTGGTATCCAAATGGTTGCATGCTCCACCCCTTACAATGCTAAAGGACTGATGAAAGCCGCGATTAGGAGTGAGAACCCTGTTATTCTTTTTGAGCATGTTCTGCTTTACAACCTTAAGGAGAGGATTCCTGATGAAGAATATGTTCTATCATTGGAAGAAGCGGAGATGGTAAGACCTGGGGAACATATAACAATCTTGACCTATTCCCGTATGAGGTACCATGTGATGCAGGCGGCGAAGACACTGGTCAACAAAGGGTATGACCCTGAGGTGATCGATATCCGCTCATTAAAGCCCTTTGATTTGCACACAATTGGAAACTCCATTAAGAAGACCCATAGAGTGCTGATTGTCGAAGAGTGCATGAGAACAGGTGGTATTGGTGCTAGTCTGACAGCTGCTATTAACGAAAACTTCAATGATTATTTGGATGCCCCGGTCGTATGTTTATCATCTCAAGATGTACCTACTCCCTATGCTGGGACTTTGGAAGAATGGACTGTGGTTCAACCTGCTCAAATTGTTACTGCAGTCGAGCAGCTGTGCAGGTAGGGAATGATTCAGTGGAGCTTTCTATTCTTTATTTACCCCCTCCCCTCCCCTCATATCTATTTTTATATTTTAAGCAATTGGATTCTTATGTATTTTAGTAGCTAGCAAATTCTTGTCTTGTATATTTCTGATATAAGTTAGTTGAGCCCTGTTGCTCCTAGATTTCCTTAGCAACTTTGTTGTTTGCCAGTGAAGAACTTCTTCTTACAGCGTTTGCTGTTGGAATTATTGGAGTTTCTATTATAGTTGAAATTGTTCTTGAAGATTAAATTTGTAGGAATTTATTGTCTACAAGGGGACAAAATTGGTTTGTTTTCATCATGTTTCAGATAATTCAGAGCTACTCCTTTCCAAAAGTATATTTCAAAATATTTCTTCATATTCACCTCATTGATGGATACAAGAGTTCTATCATCCAGAGACATCGTTACATCTCTCCGTTTGCTCTTTTGATGGCCAATTATCAATGGAGAAAGTTAACCACATTTTTTTGAACAAATTTAACCACATTTTAAATGTGATACATTGAGTGGATGCAGGTGCTTTGCCTCTTTTGTTCACCAAGGAGCCATGTCTACTTTGTATTAGAAAATAAGCATAAAACAATAAAATATTTGTCTCAATGTTTTTTTTTTTTTTTTTTTTTTTAATGAATGTTGCATAATTGTCGCGTCGTGGTGAGCCATTGTCCTAAAAGATAGTTGTTGAAGCGTAAGAGGTTTTGATGATGATGAGTATAGGCAAACTTCAACTAATGTGATTTCTAGGTGAAGTTGACTTTGGAAGTGGAAGAATAACCTATCTATGAAGATCTAAGGAGAAAGAAAGGAAAGATAAAGAGAAAAGAAGTAGAGTTCCTCATTGGAACTAGAAGTGATCCCTAACAGGAACACAAAGAGACGTTCCTAACAGGAAGAAGACTAGCTTGGACTGCGTCGAAGACATCAAGTTCCACAAGAACTTGGACTGCGAGTTCCAGCAAGGAGCTGGAGAGTTGAAGACAGCAGGAACTTGGTCTTGGTGTGTGTAGAGCCCAAGTATTCATACAATGCAAAGCTTGAGGAGGCAATTCAGCAATAAACTTAAAGTCTTTTTAATAAAGTTTTGTTTAGTTTATTTTTGTGAGGATTGTTGTACATATGTGTTGGTTAACAAAGCATGAAATCGAAAAGAAGCGTGTCAAAGCTTGGCAAGCTTTATAAATATGGAAAATGTTAAAAACGATAAGTTTTAAATCTAGAAAAAGATCTTAGAGAGATTTTATCTTATATAATCTGGTTTGCAAAATTATAATATTTTTCAAAATCATATCTTTTTTAAGTTTTCCAAAAGATTTCTTCAAAAGATTCATTTCATGTTGAAGTTTTATCAAACAACAGTTTTGCATATTCTATCTTTTGAAAACCCTGCTTTACATATAGTATAAAGGAGTGTCCGTATCTGATACAACTTGTGAGTTTATGCATGAAAAATCCAAGAGTGCTTAAGAGTAAGTTTGCCAAGTTAATAGCTCTGTCATATTAGTTTCAGATTTCATGTGTAGCTTTCTAATATCATATTTGAGTCAAGTGTTTGTATTGTTTTGGGTATTAGGTGTGTGATTTGTGTTTGCATACAGTGTGGTAGGCTTGAGAGGAAAGCCGAGTGAATAGTACTCTGGGAGTGCTAAGTGGAATCTAAGTTTGGGACTTAGGTTGGGTAGGATAGGGTCCTATCGAGTAGCAAGTTTAGTCAGGAACTTGTGAGAAAGGTCTGTGAATGTAATAGGTTGTAACTAGGTGTGTTGCCCTATTATAGTGAAGCGTTTGGTTTTAAAATCCCTTGGAGGGTCGAGGTAGTTTCAGATTTCATGTGTAGCTTTCTAATATCATATTTGAGTCAAGTGTTTGTATTGTTTTGGGTATTAGGTGTGTGATTTGTGTTTGCATACAGTGTGGTAGGCTTGAGAGGAAAGCCGAGTGAATAGTACTCTGGGAGTGCTAAGTGGAATCTAAGTTTGGGACTTAGGTTGGGTAGGATAGGGTCCTATCGAGTAGCAAGTTTAGTCAGGAACTTGTGAGAAAGGTCTGTGAATGTAATAGGTTGTAACTAGGTGTGTTGCCCTATTATAGTGAAGCGTTTGGTTTTAAAATCCCTTGGAGGGTCGAGGTTTTACTTCCAGTTTGGTCCCTAAAAGGTTTCCTCGTAAAATTCTGTGTGCATTGCAAGCTCCTTTAACATTATGTTTTATTATTCCGCAAAAGTAGTCATTATGAACTCACTACAGTTCACCACCCTCTTGTAGAAGTTCGTCTCAACTAACAACAGTTCTACACTGTCTAATGCCATAGACGTAAAGCGGTCGCCTTCTAGGATAAGAATTACACCGGAGTTTGGGTGCACTCACAAACCCGGCTACAACTCAGAATAATTGCCTAAAATCCAAAGGATTTTTTTATTTTTATTTTTATTTTTTTACGAGAAGAACATTTCTAATTTTATATGTATGTATTCATTGGCAGAGCCAGTTAAGGGGAATATAAGTTTTTAACAAAATGGTTCAATATAATCATACTAGAATTGTGATATACAGTTTTTTCGCCAAAATTTGCTCTTAATCTGTGAAATTTAACTTATTTTTATGATCAATGTTGTTGATTTTAACCAAGAAAATGAAGGAAAACTTGTTGAAAGTTCTTCGAATTGTAGCTCCTATGGCCTTTATTTTTTTGGAATTTGAGGAGAGAGAAACTCACAAATGTTTAGATTGAGGAGAGAGAAAGTGAAAGCTGTTTGAGTTTGAGGGTTTGTGATTTGTTTTAATCGTGATCGCTCGTCTCAATCTAATCCTACGATTGAGTTATTCTTATATAAGATTGGATTCTTATATAGAGGAGGGTTCTTCCCGGATCCCTCCCCTATATATATATATAAAGCCGGTCTCGCAGCCAAGCCACGAGACATCGACACTTGACATTCCAGTTTTTCGCCAAGTGTCGCGCCACGTTGGAGATAAATAGGTATTATTGTGACACATATGATGCTAAGTAAGCACTTTTTGGATAGATTTTTTAATATAAAATTGTTGCATAAAGTTTTAGTATCGATAAAATTCTAATATTTCATATATACAAAATTAATCATAACTTTTAATAAATATCCTATAACTCAATTCTATTTCCATCATCAAATCATATCATATCATATCACTAATAAATAAAACCGGTCTCGCAACCAGGCCATAAGACAGCGACACTTAGCATTCCAGTTTTTCGCCAAGTGTCGAGCCACATAGGCGACAAATAGGTTTTATTGTGACACATATAATGCTAAGTAAGCGAATTTTGGATAAATGTTTTAAGAAAGAATTTTTGTGTAGAGTTTTATTATTGATATACTTCTAATATTTCATATATACAAATTTAATCATAAATTTTAATAAATATCCTATAACTCAATTCTATTTCCATTATAAAATTCGTTTTAAAAAGTTCTTTAAATAATATCCATTTATAATACTTTCTCCGTTCTTTTAATATCGCATCACTTGCTTTTTAGGGAAGTTTCACAAATATTGCATCACTTCCATTTTAGGACAAAAAATATCTATGTTTACACTGCAAATACCCAACATACCCTTGCTTTTTCACACTTACTTTCTATTTTATCTTTACATTACATGGACAATTTAGTATTTTTACGTTTCTCTCTCTTACTTTTTCCCACTACCAAATTTTGCTTCCAAAACCCCTATGATGCAATAAAAAAAAGAACGGAGGAAGTATATTTATTTTATAAAATTAATAGAGAATTAGTAAAAATCAGTTTTAATCCGTAAAAATAATTTAGTTTTGTAAAAATACTTTTGGTTCAGTAAAATAATTTAAGTTCAATAAAAATAATTTCAATTCAATAATGACATAGATATCTTATTTTATACTATTTAAATAATCCTTTTTGATAAATATCATATAACTAATATATAAAGCTAAACTTTTAGCTAGGCCACGAGACAGCGACACTTGGCATTTTAACTTTTCGCCAAGTGTCATGCCACGTAGACAACAATTAATTATTAGTATGACACATAGGATGAAAATGTTGGATAGATTTAGCAACTAATGTTTCAAACGTGGATAGATTTAGACATTAGTAATAATGACTTTGAGATTATAATTATTCCTTATAATTATTTTATAAGTAGCCAATTAATGTAAAGATTTTTAAAATATAAGGATATATATTATGGAGGGAATTCGGGGCATCGCTCGGGGGGTACGTACTAATCACTATAAATAAAGCTGGTCTTGTAGCCAGGCCACGAGACAACAACATTTGGCATTCTAGTTTTTTGCCAAGTGTCGCGCCACGTAGGAGATAAATAGGTATTATTGTGACACATATGATGCTAAGTAAGCGCTTTTTGGATAGATTTTTTAAGATAAAATTCTTGCATAGAGTTTTAATATCGATAAAATTCTAATATTTCATATATACAAAATTAATCATAACTTTTAATAAATGTCCTATTACTCAATTCTATTTCCATCATCAAATTCGTTTTAAAAAGTTATTTAAAATAAGATCCATTTATAATATATTATTTAATCACAAACTTTTATATGTAGCTGGCCAAACCGTATCACCAACTGTATGTTACAAGATCAGAGTTACTTCGTTAATGCTATAGGGGTTACTTGGTCAGTGTTTTAGTGGTTACTCAATCAGTGTTATAGATAGGGGTTACTTAGTCAGTGTTATAGATAGGGGTTACTTAGTTAGTGTTACCAGGGTTATTCGATCAGTTTTATAGGGGTTACTTTGTCCGGCCAGATGGTGTGGTTAGCCGCATACAAAATGCATTGTTATTTAATTTATATTAAAAAAATATTAGAGAATCAGTAAAATAAGTTTTAATCAGTAAAAATAATTTTAGTTTGGTAAACATACTTTCAGTTCAGTGAAAATAATTGAAGTTCAATAAAATAATTTCAAGTCAATAATAACATAGATATCTATTTACAAAGAAAACTATAAAAATTACACTCCATATGATATCGTATGTCCAAATATCCTACATTATCAGAACGAATTATTTGACCGTATTTAACATTCAAGTAAAAATGTTATCTTAAAATTTTATCAACCATTTGGGCATCGCCCGGGCACAAAACTAGTATATAAATATGTGTGTGTGTGTGTGTGTATATATATACACACACACACCCGCAGTGACACTTTTTTTATACGTATTCCATATTAATGTAGTAATTATTATATCCTAAATAAAAAGATTTCACAAATCTTGCTAAAAAAAATTTGGGCAACTATAAACAAAA